CCCAATATCCCATCTAACCCTGCCCTCCTTCACTTCAAGGCCATTCCCCCCTGTTCTTATTCTCTTCCTTTCTGATTAAGCCCAAAAACCAATTCCCTGAGGCCTGACTCTCTGACCATTGGTTTCCAGCTCCCACCCACCCCGTTCACTCGGTGAAGACTGCGTCCATCGGGACTTTGGGAAGGACTCGCCCTCCCATGCCTGTGGTCGTTCCCAGTGCCCCCGACGTGCAGGAGACCACCCGGATGCTGGAGGACTCAGAAAGCGTAGGTACTTCCACTGCCAGGCCTGACCTTGCAGTGCTCACAGACTGGGGGGGGGGGGGGGGTGTCTCTCCTTATTTGTGTCACACTTGGAAACTTCAGGAATTCTGGACTGACACTTTCAAAGGCAGAGGGTCACAAGGCTCCAAACTTCCAACACCTCCATTGCCTGTGAATCCATATAAAAACTGCAGGGTCTTCTGCACAGGGCAGGGTCCTGTTACAGCCCTACTGCTGCAGAGCATTCCCCGTGTCACTGCACATGGAACATTTGGCACTAATGCCAACGTGTTTTAAGCATCATCCCAAATATGTTTGTAGACTCTCCTGTGAAAGTGTTCTGACTTTTGGGAAAGATGCAACCACCTGGGCTGCTTTTGGGAGTATCTCTTAAGGATGTTGAGGATGTTTTGGGTGGGAAGCACTGGAAGAGCTGTTTTCCTTTCAAATTGCAAGCCAAGAAGTTTCTCCAGTAGCTACTGGATCACTAGAATCATATATTGTCTTCAGTATCACACAGGTATTAGCTCTAATCACTGCTACAGGAAATGATTATTTTGAATTTATTTTACTTTTTTCCCTCATTGTCCTTTTCATTTGTCACATGTTTTTGTTGCCCTCTTGATTTTATTTCTGTGTGTGCTGGTCTAGAAACTTGATCTGGTGCCCTTTTGCCCTTCTGTCTAGATGTCACCCCTGCTTTATTTGTTTTGTTTGGTCAGTACCAAACCCTTACTCATTAGTTTATCCATCAATAAATTGGTAATATTCAAATAGAACCATTAATAAATTTGTTCATTCATAAGTTAGTACAAGGTAGAGTCAGCACACTAAATACTAGTTAAATTAAATTGCTAGTTCAAGTATGAGTTTTGAAAATTAAATTATAAGTTGAATTAAGGGGTTTAGGGTTAGGTAGTGATTTGAATTAACTCTGTTTTTTTATGAGAGCCTGTAGGAATGAGTTTGCTTTCAGCTGCTGCTGTTTATCATTGTCAGATAACATGCTGGACCCAGGGCAGGGATGACTTCTCTGGTACAGTCCAGATGTTTGATAAACTGGAAGGTCACTGCCATTTACATTAGGAGAAGGTTTGTCTCTAGAAGGAAAGGAAGTGAGAGCAGGGTCAGGGTTGAAAACTGCACAGAACAGGGAAGGACTTGGTCAGAAAAGGTTTGGAGATGATGTGGTTCATGGTGTGTCTGCACACAGGCACTGATCACAGAGGTGATGGCTCATCAGTGCAGCTGAAACTGGACCTCTGAGCCTAAGACACTGTGATTTCAGGGAGGATAATGATTCTCAAAACACTTCTTATGAGGTGATTCCTTTGACCTTTTTTCCAGTTAAGCTGGGAAGACTTTTCTGAACTCCCTACTCTGGTTCAAAGGCAGCTGTTCCCTTCAGGGATCGAGACAAGGAAAACAGATCAGCTGATCATGGTTTATTCAGTGGGACTCTGAATCACAACTGCCCAAAGAGCTGCACTGAAAATAGAATCAAAGAATAGAATATGCTGAGCTGGAAGGGACCCACAAGGATCATCAGTCCAAATCCCACCCTGTCCCTGAGAGCATTGTCCAAATCCTCCTTGAGCTCTGACAGCCTTGGTGCTGTGCCCACTGCCCTGGGGAGACTGTTCAGTGCCCAACCACCCTCTGGGGGAAGAACCTTTTCCTAATGTCCAACCTAAACCTCCCCTGGCACAGCTCCAGCCACTCCTTAGAGTGTTCTTTCACGTTATTAATTCCTGTAACTGTGGTTAAATCCAATCCACGTGTGGTTATTCCTGAGTCAGAGCCATGTCCCACAGCAGTCCCTGACCATTCCTCTGTGTTTCCTGTCCTGTCCCTCCCTAAAGGAGAGCCAAGGCCCCCTGTAGTAACCCTCTCCCTCTCCCCAGACCTACGAGCCGGATGAGCTGACCAAAGAGATGGCCCACCTGGAAGGACTGATGAAGGACCTCAATGCCATCACCACGGCGTGACCACCTCCCCGGGACATGACTCCAAACCGCTCCGCAAGTCGTGGGACTCAGCCTTGGAACGCAAGGAATTGTACAGAGGAAAAAAAAAAAAAGGAAAAAAAAGCAAAAAAAAAAAAACAAACAACAAACCAGAAAGAGGGACAGCACATGAGAGCAATGTGGGAAGGAGAGGAACCAACCAGAGGGGACCTGTGTGTCACCGTCCTGCAGTGAAGTCATGGCCCAGTGAATTCCAGTCCCCTGTGGGCCGGGCAGGATGGGACACACCAGGCTGGACTCCAGACACAAGGAAAGCAAACGGACTCGCCGTTAGTTTTGTTCTGGTCAGGTTTTGTCTCAGTGGTGTGATTGCCCTGCCTTTTCAGTGTTGGACATTGGCATTTATGTACAATTTTATTTGTGTTTTTATTTTATCTTTTTTTATAAAAAGGAAAAAAATATTGTAATTAAAAAAAAAAAAAAGGGAGAAACTGTTGTTTTCCACAGCCTAGGCTGAGGTTTGACTGCTTGTTCTATTGTGTATGGAAATTCATTGCCAGTGTGGGTTGTTCTGTTTTGTTTTTTATTCTGCGTACAATTACGTCCCCTTCTGGCAGTTAATCCATGGCCTTTTGGGATGCTGCACTGCTCTTTGTAAGCTTTTTTTATTATTTTTATATTATAATTATTAAAAGCCTGACTTTCTCCTCTCATCACTGTGAGATTACCAGTCTGTTTGAATTGAAATGTAATTTGAAAGGCTTGTTTGTCGCTTTTTGTGCAGTTTCAATATTTTGAGTGGGGGGAAAAGTAGCTGGGGAAGGGAGGGGGTCCAGGGGGAGGGGTCATTCTTGTTGTTTTCCTGTCTTTCTCCAGTGACTGGAAAGACTGAAGAACATGAAGCATCTTCTGTAACGTCCTTCCTTGTCCCTTTAGCATCAGTGTGTCTCTGGTCACTGAACTGCAGTGAGAGTCTCATTTAGAAACATTGCCAGAACTTCCTCCTGTAAATTGGGGTTCCTTATGCTTAGATAACACTACATGCAGCTTATTTTGGCAACTGTTTTGTTGTTGTTAGTTAAAGATGCATCATGAACCTTGCAAGTGCAGAGTGAGGGCTCAGCACAGGCCCCAGGGCTGGGGTGGAGCTCCCTGGGCTCCCAGACGGAGAGAACTGTGGGCCCTTCCATCCCCACACACCACATCCTGCCTGTGGGGACGCTCCCTGCCCACAGCAGCACGTCCAGCCCCAGTGCAGTGTCTCCATCCCAGGCCACTCAAACAAGGGCCAGCTCTGGAGCATTCCCCAGAGACAGAAACAAGGCAAAAATGTATTTTTTTACACTTTGGGAAACCATGTAAAAAGAAAACCAGTATTAGTGACTCAGGTGCTGTTCACACTTCTGTCTGGGAAGGAAGGGAATGTCAAAGGGAAGGACAAGGGTTTTCCTTTTCTCCATGTGTGATTGCCTGGCTCTGCCCTTCCCTGTGAGGGAGAACAGCCTGGAAAGGGGCTGTAGCTCAGTAAAGTAACCAAACCCACCCCCAGGTGCCTGATGAACTCGTGTGCAATTCCACTGCCAGAACAAAAGGAAACTCCAACTTACTGCTGGTTCAGAGGGGAATCTGTTCCTCCTGGGATTTGGGATCTTGGGGACAGGCAGGTCTGGGTGCTTTGGGGACCCTGCTGTGGCTCTGCCAGGGCTGGGCCTGTGGGAGCAGCAGGAGGGAATGCTGGAACTGCTGCAGTTCCAGTAACAAACAGGAATTCTGCTGATTTTACTTTGTTCCCCACTGAACTGAACTAAAGCTTCTCGTCTCCAAGAGGGGGAGAGCTATGGAATCACCTGGAGAGCAGCTGGGATGGTGCTGTAGTGTCACTTCCTTTCTTTTCCTGGACTCTGTGTTGTCATTTCTGGGACATTTCCTGCCTTTATTTATTCTTTGAGGGAGGGGAGGGAATCAAATTAATTGGGGCACTGTGGGCCACCTGGATAACTGATGTTTGGACTTTTAATCAGTACAATTCAGGGCAAAATAAGCTACAGAATATGTGTTTAAAGAATAAAAATGCACACCCTGGCCTGGAAGGAGGGTGTGAACCTTTTCCTTTGCCTATTTTTTACCTGTACCCAAAGAAATACCATCCTACAAACACAGTATTCCTGGCTGGGGGGGGGGTCTTTGTGAATATTCCTTATGTATAACACCATGAATGTTAATATTGTCATTGAATTTGGGGAGGGGGAATATTTTTAATGATAAAACAACTGTTCAAAGTTGGTTTTTTAAGGTTAAACTGAAAAAAAAAAAGAAAAAACATTTATTCAATTCAGTGTACAATCTGTATTGCACTTTTTCACATTTTAATGCTACGTTTTCTTACATATCCTGTGATTTTAAATTTGGAACATTGTGTATCCTTGTAGTGTCATAGTCAAGCTGTCGAGTGACAGCTTCCCTCAGACATTTGGGGAAAAAAGAACCAAACCTGTATATTGTTTTATGATTCTCATGTAGAATAATTTTGAGGGCTGCTGTAGACGTCGACCTTTCTGTACAATTTTTGTTGCTTTCCTGTAGTATTTGCTGTATCCTCTATGGCTTTTTTTAATAACTTCATGTTTATTATTTGGTATTGGACATCCAATACACTTTTTTTAATCCAATCAAATTCTGGGCTGCTTGGAGAGTTTGTTTAATTATTCCTAATTGATACAGGGACCAGGTTTGGAATTTTACTTGCCCTTTTTGTTGCTGTGGGTTGGCAGGTTGTGTCCTCCAGAGAAGGAAGAGGAAAATTGTTACTCTCCCTCAGTCTTTGTGCAGACACTGAACATGTAACCTCTGCCTTCCTTCTATTTCAAAGCTCCATGGTAAAAAATACCACCTTTTAATAAGCAAGTAGAAAAGGAAGGGGTTCACATCAGGGAAAGGACATTTTAGTAGCCTTAGTAAACTGGCAAATCATGAAAAATAATATTATAATCATGGAATAGAGAGCTTTTTCTGTACCTTTTGAAGTGCAGTGATGGGTATCCATGTTGCTCCATGCTGACTCCAGCCTCCTTCTCTCATACTTGGGACTCCCACTGGTCATCAGCCACTTTCCTGGTCACTCGTGTCCTTGGGAGCATCATCCTGACCCCTGCAAATGGGAATTATGCTCCTGCAGGCTTTACAGCCCCTGCTCCCCTCGTTGTTCATCAGATCTCTGTTTACTCGTTAAATTGTGCCCCCACACCAATGTCTTGTGTGGGAAGGGACCCCCAAATCCTCCTGAAGGGGAGCCAGGACCTGCAGTTGGGCAGGGATGTCACAGCCATGCCAGAGCTGGGGGCTGTGCAGGGATGGGGCCAGGGGAGGAGAAGTGGGTGCAAAGGCATTGATCAGTAAGTTGGGAGTGTCCCAAGGCACAGTCAGGACACAGACAGGCAGATTAAAACCCTGCCCTCTGTTTACTGACCTTGAGCTCTGAGCAAGGTGTCCCTGCCCGTGGCAGCGGTTGGAATGAAATGAGCTTTAAGGTCCCTTCCAACCCAAACCATTCTGGGGTTCACATGGAATCACTGAGGTTGGAAAACACCTCCAAGGTCAGCGACTCCACCCTGTGCCCCATCCGCATCTTGTCCCCCACCCAGAGCACTCAGTGCCACGCCCAGTCATTCCTTGGACACTCCAGGGGTGGGGACTCCACCACCTCGCTGGGCAGCCCCTTTCAGTGCTTGACAGCCCTTTCCAGGAAAAAATTCCTCCTGATGTCCAACCTGAACCTCCCCTGGCACAGCTTGAGGTTGTTTCGTCTCCTCCTGTCCCTTGTTCCCTGGGAGCAGAGCCCGACCCCCACCCGGCTCCCCCTCCTGTCAGGGAGTTGCAGAAACAGAAGGTCCCCCTCGAGCCTCCTTTTCTCCAGGCTGAGCCCCCCCAGCTCCCTCAGCCGCCCCTCACAGCACTCGTGCTCCAGGTTCTACGATATAAAGTGAGTTTATCTCGCTGGCCAGCGCAGATAATTCCCGGTGCTGCTCTGCCCGTCGGCCCGGCTGACAGAGGGGTGGGTTTGTGCCGTTCTGAGGCAGGTGACAGGTGACACCTGCTGTTCATGTCACAGGGCTGTGGCACAGCCCGGGGACACCAGATGGCAGTGGTGACTCGCTGGTGAAAGGCTGCAGCTCACACGGAGCCCGCACGGAGCTGCAGCCGCCTGGAAGGGAATCAGTGCTGAGGAGCCTCGCGGTAGCGCTGCTGCCCCTCAGCGGCAGCTCAGGGAAGAACTCGAGCTGCAAATTACAGCTTTTCCATGCCTGGCTCTGGCTTTCCCTGCCAGCGCTGTGGTTCCCAACACAGAAGGAAGGGGCTGCCTCAAACACCTGCAATGAATTGGTGCAACACTTGCAGGCTTTTTCCCATTAAGAGCAGCCATCCATCTCCACATGAACTGAGGCTGGATTTAAACCACATTCATCTCAATAAAAGCAATCCTGCAGGGGCTTGACAGGATGTAACTCAACAGCCTTTGCCAAAAATATTAACCATTACAAATTTTCATAGGGTCCCAGAATGGTTTGGGTTAGCAGGGACCTTAAATCTCATCTCCTTCCACCCCCTGCCACAGGCAGGGACACCTTCCACTAGCCCAGTTTGCTCCAAGCCCCATCCAACCTTTCCTTGGACACTTCCAGGGATGGGGCAGCCACAGCTTCTCTGGGTAAGCTGGGCCAGAGCCTCACCACCCTCACAGCCAACAATTCCTTCCCAATGTCCCATCTATCCCTGTCCTCTGGCAGTGGGAAGCCATTCCCCATTGTCCTCTATCTGTCCATCTGTCCCTCCATCCCTTGTCCCAAGTCCCTCTCCAGCTCTCCTGGAGCCCCTTTAGGCACTGGAAGGGGCTCTAAGGTCTCCCTGGAACCTTCTCTTCTCCAGGTGAACACCCCCAGCTCTCCCAGCCTGTTTCTGTGGGATCAGGGCTTTCCTAATCAACACAGGCTCCAGCCAGGTTACACATCTCCCCTTACTACACAGTATCAGCTGTGAGACTTTTATAAGCCAAGCTCTGAGCTGCAGAGTGCCTCTCTAGAACCTTCCAAAAGCAGACACAGCAAAATTCCTGCCTCCAGAAGAGCTTCCCAGCTCTCCAGAGTGCTGCTCCCTGGAAATCCAGGGGACAGACATCACAGCAAACATGCAGGGCTGACAGGGCAGAGGCAGCAGCAGGAGGAGAGATTTGGAAAAGGAAAGTCAGCCCTGGGCAGGCACAATGTGGAAAAGTGTCCATCAGAACATGCATATAGAAGTGAAAGAGTGGAAAACATCCACAAATTCAGCCTTGTGAAAAGGCAGGGAAAGCCTGAATGCCGTAGGGTGCCAGGGAGACAGACTAAAATCCAAGGAGGGGGAGCACAAAAGCCTTCAGCCTATTGGAATGGTGTTGGACCCCCTTGCTGTGAGGAAACATGTTCTTCACCAGCTGAGAGTGACTCTCTGACCCTGCATGGGTGCCTGCACAGGGCTGGAAGCAGCTGCACTAGGACAATAACCAAGAATCAACTTTTCCCAGTTGCTTCCCAATTTCAGCTCCTGTTTCCCAGCCTTCTTCCAGCACTCACTGCCTTTCCTCCAGCTCTCCCTCTCCATAGGCACAGCATCCATGAAATCTGGCTCCCATAGGGCTGGAACTTGGAGCAAATGCTGATTTTCCTTGATAATTCCTTAGGAGGAAGCCCTGTTCCCCAGGCAGGCTGTCTCAGGACATCCCCCCCTCAGGCAAGTGCTCTGAGTTGGTCATGGGGCCTGTTCAAGGACAGATGCACCAGTGACACCAGTGCAGCCTTGGGAAGGGGAGGTGCTGCTGCTCCAGGGGCTGCAGAGCCCCGTCCCTGCCCCACACACCCCTGGGTACAGCCTCCTGCCCCACACACCCCTGGTCACAGCCTCCTGCCCCACA